AATTATTTACACTTTGGACATTGGATAGATTCAAGTCCCAACTCCAAGACTATAAAGAAGCTCTACAGGATTTCTTAGCATGTTCTAAAACTAAATTTAAATTATAATTATAGTCTTCCTCTTCATACTAAAAATATGTAAACCACGATGAATAATTTGGAATAATATTTGCCTAGCAAAATAAATATCCAAAAAAAGGTTTTATTGGTCCTATTGTAAAAATTATCAACTAGACCACAAATATAATTATACAGTATTCTGATCAAGTAATATACTATATTAGTTCAAATTTAAATGAGTATTAAAATACGATGTAACAACGCAATTGATATGAAATACTGAGTAACTGAATAAAGACATTGCAATGTTGTTTCAATTCTCTCTCATCTGTAATAAAAAAGTTAAAATCACAGATATTTGAAAAGTACTCTATCTTCCAAGTTTACAATCTCTTTATGTCTTTTTACATATATTAAAAGATGTCAACTTATATATCCCTTTATATATTCCTTTATATTCATTTTATTGTAGTAAAATGCAAAATAATACAGCCTGCACACACAACTATAAATTAAGCTACTGAGGAACTCACAGATACTGTTGATGTTGATTATAGCCAAATAAATAATGTAAAGGCTACACTACTCTGCTCATCCAGAACCAAAATCAAATTATCCTGCGTAGCAGATACCACAGATGAATCTACAGGAAAATCCACATTTTGGAAAAATCTACATTCTTCCAAATTGGAATAAGTGACTGTTACAATAGATGCATAGATATTAATATTGGTACAAAAAATGAAAAATAAAGAAATAATACCTCCAAAGGAACATGTTAATTTCCCATGAACAGATCCCCAATAAAACAAAATCTATAAAATTTCTACAACTGAATTAAAAATACTGATCTTAAGAAAACTCAGCAAGCTAAAGGAGATAATAGGTAGATAATACAAAGAAATCAAGGACACAATTCATGATTCAATGAGACTTTCAAAAGGGAGAGTGATATCATAAAAAAGAACCAAACAGAAATCTTGGAAATGAATAATTAAATCCATAAAATAAAAATACAGTTGAAAGCTTCAGCAATAAACTAGATCAAACAGAAACAAATAATTTATGAACTGGAAGACACACATTTTCAAATAAATTAGAAAAAAAAGAAAAATAAAAATCAGAACGAAGAAAGCCTATGTGACTAATGTGACACCATTAAGCAAACAAATATTTGCATATTGAAATTCACAGAAGCAGGTAGAAAAGCATAGAAAACGTCTTTAATAATAAAATAGCTGAAACATTCTCAAGCCTTGCGGGAAATATAGACATTTAGATATAGAAGGCTCAGTGAGTCCCAAATAAATTTAACCCAAACGATCATCTCTGAGGCAAATAGTTAAACTGTCAAAAGTCAAAGACAAGGAGAAAATTGTAAAAATAGCAAATGTGTCAAGTCACAAATAAGAGAATCTCCATCAGACTAACAGCAGATTTCTGAACATAAATCTTATAGTCCAGGACGTGAATAATATATTTGAAGTGCTGAAATAGGGGGAAAAAAACAAAAACAAAAAACTTTTAGTCAAGAATACTATTTTGAGCAAAGCAATTCTTCCAAAATAAAGAAAAAATAAAATACCTCTCAGACAAGCAAAAACAGGGCATTCATCACCACTGGCCCAGCCCTGTGAGATATGTGTAAGGAAGTCCTACACCTGGAAATAGTTCAAATACCCCACTTAAAAGACATAGAGTGGTGAATGAATAAGACAACTTGACCCAGCTATATGCTAGCTACAAATGACTCATTTTACCTGTAGAGACACACATAGGCTGAAAGTGAAGGAATGGAAAGTTATATTCCATGCATGTGGAAACAAAAAGCATGCAGAAGTAGCTATCTTTGTATTAGGTAAAATAGGCTTTAAGTCAAAAGAATTAAAAATATATAGGCCGGGCGCGGTGGCTCAAGCCCGTAATCCCAGCACTTTGGGAGGCCGAGACAGGCGGATCACGAGGTCAGGAGATCGAGACCATCCTGGCTAACTGGTGAAACCCCGTCTCTACTAAAAAATACAAAAAAAACCTAGCCGGGCAAGGTGGCAGGCGCCTGTAGTCCCAGCTACTCCGGAGACTGAGGAAGGAGAATGGTGTAAACCCAGGAGGCGGAGCTTGCAGTGAGCGGAGATCCGGCCACTGCACTCCAGCCTGGGCGACAGAGCAAGTCTCCGTCTCGAAAAAATAAATAAATAAAAAATATAAAAAATATATACAAAGGTAGTTATTATATAATGATGAAGGAATAAACTCAGCAAGAATGATTAAATTCATATGCGCACTCAATACTGGAGCACCCAAATATATAAAGCAAATATTAGAGCTAAAGGGAAAGAGACCCCAAAATAATATTAGTAGGGGACTTCAACGCCTCGCTTTCAGCAATGGACATATCATCTTGACAGAAAATTTTTAAAAATCAGACTTAAGCTGCACACTAGATCAAATGGACCCAAACGACCTTTAGAAAACATTTCATCCAAAAGCTTCAGAATACACATTTTCCTCCTCAGCACATGGAACATTCTCCAAGATAGACTATATGTTGGGCCACAAAACAAGCCTTGACACATTTTTAAAACTTGAAATTGTATAAAATATTTTCTCAGACGACAATGGAATAAACCTGAAAATCAATAGCAAGAAAAACTTTGAAAACCGTAAAAATAAATGGAAATAAAACATCATGGTCTTGAACTACCAATGTGTCTATGAAGAAATTTTTTTAATTATAAAATATTTTAAAACAAATAAAAATAAACTGTAAAACTATACCAAATCCTATGGCATACAACAAAAACAGCACTAAGAGGGAAATTTATAGGAATAAATGCCTTGATCAAAAAAGTAGAAATATTTCAAATAAACAGCCTAAGAATGCACCTCAAAGCACTACAAAAGCAAGAACAAACCAAACCCAAACTTAGTTGAAGGGAAAATAATAACGATCACAGCAGAACTAAATGAAATAGAGACAAGAAAATATTTTAAAAATGAAATCTAAAGTTGTTTTTTGAAAAGACAAAGTTGAGAAACCATAGCTAGACTTACTAAGGAAAAAGTGAGATGACCCTCCAAAAAATAAAACTAGAAATGAAAAAGAAGGCATTACAACTGATATCACAGACATAAAAAAGGTCATTAGAGACTATTATAAACAATGATACACCACGAAATTGAAAAATCAATAAGAAATGAATAAATTTTTGAACACATATAACCTACCACGATTGAACTAGGAAGAAGTAGAAAACTCTAACAGAGTAATAACAAATAATAAGATTGATTCAGCAATAAAAAGTCTCCCAAAATGAAAAGTCCAGGACAGAAAGGATTTACTGCTTGAATTCTACAAACTTCTAAAGAACACCAATTTTTTTCAAACTATTCCAAATAATTGAAGAGAAGGGGCTTCTTCCTAATTCATTCTATGATGCCCACTTTTATTTAACACAGTACTGGAAGCCCTAGCCAGAGCAATCAGGCAAGAGACAGAAACAAAACCATTCAAACTAGAAAAGAGGCCTAAGCTCCGCCTCCTGTCAGATCAGAAGTGGTATTAGATTCTCATTGGAGTGCGAAACCAGTTGTGAACCATGCATGCAAGGGGTCTAGGTTGCATGCTCCTTATGATAATCTAATGCCTTATGACCTGTCACCATCTTCCATCACCCCCAGATGGGACCATCTATTTTCAGGAAAACCAGCTTGAGGCCCCCATTGATTCTTCAATATGGTGGGCTGTATAATTATTTCATTATATATCAAAATATAATAATAATAGAAATAAAGTGCACAATAAAGTAATGCACTTGAATCATCCCAGAATCATCCTCCCACCCATCTATGGAAAAATTGCCTATAACAAAACTAGTCCCTTGAGTTCAAAAATATGATTTCTTGAATTTCAGATAAACTGCCTTTCATGGGTACCAACCACTGTGCAATATATTTTGTTGACATGTGGGAAAAATTATGTACCTCATAGTCCATTTAATCAAGCCAATATATGTATTTGGATTTTAAATTATGAGTTTTCTAACAAATGAATGCAAGCAGCAAATTGAGTTTAGTGAAACACGCTATTTTTCCACCCAATTATAGTTCTTAAAACTCTAAAAGGGAAACATCTGTTGAGCCAGTTATAGAGCTGGTTGCTGACTGAGAACAGCAGGAGAGATTGCAGTTAATCATCTGCACTCCTACCAGGAGCCCCGCTCACCATTGTGAATTACTGAGGATGGTTTCTTGAAGGATAAGACACTATGTGGTTTCCATATAAAGAGCAGTAAAAGTCACAGCAGGGAGAAATGGGAATTGGCACTTTAACAAAAGGAGGAGGAGTTCTTAACAGTTTCATTAGTAGCTCAGAGGTTTGTATCAGCACCTCTTTGGAAAACACAGAATAAAACCTGCTGTAAAATAAGGTATTAGTCTTAAATAGAGCAAATAAATTAGTCAATTTACTGTATCTTAACAAGGTGTTAACTTGAGTAATCAGCATGTTGAATAAACCTTCAGTTTAATTTGTGTGTGTACATTTAGCATAGAGGGAAGCCAAATGAATTATCCAAGTTAGAAACAGATAAAGACAAGCAAGAAATACAGCAGAGCATATTTTATTTTTCTCTATTAGAAATCATCTGTTTACAACAAACTCAAGTTTCATCATACTCTTAAATATTTCTATAAATATTTATTATTTATGGATTATAAATGTGAATACAAAAGTGAAGCTGAAGGAATATAAATACCTACCTGTCTTCTGGTTTTTTTTGATTCTATGTATTATATTTTCAATGCTGAGAATCTACATCTCTGTCTCTCTCACTTTCTTTCTTTTTTCTTCTTTTTTCCTTTTTTCATCTTTTTTTTTTTTTTTTGATTCACTGAAGATAAAATTTCTGCATCTTCTTCAATAAAATAGTCAGTTTCTTTTAGCCTTTCCTTCTATAAATTAAATAATGAACATTGCATTAAGTTTTCCCCATTATTTGTGTTTATCAATCTAATAAAATATTTTGTGGATTCTCATATACAGCTTTTTGACGGTCTAAATATTCCTTCTCTAGAGATCAGTATGAACTGAATTTACTGAAATTTACAAACTTAATGCATCAATATTTTTTCAGAATTTTTTACTGAAGAAATTACCACATAAATAGACTCCCAGGTACACATCAACACGTGGACCACAAATGGAAGCATTGATTGAAATACATTTTGTTTTTAATTTGAAAACAATCAAATCTTTAAAGAGTGGTAGATAGACAATTTTGAAATTCCCTGACCAAGTATCTTTATAAGTATCTCCAAATATGATTGAATTTTTATTATTTAGGAATCAGATTATGCCTATATAATATTCAATTTGTTACGTTTCCAGGAAATTATTTCAATGACCATAGAAGACTGTAGATATTAACAGAAATTCCTATTTTGGTGTACTATTTCAACCTATTTACCAAATTACCTCTAAAATCTACAGTTATGGATGAGTTCAGAGTAAGAGAAGGTTCTGCAACAGGTCCAGGACAATCTGCTGTGACTGTGAGATGTTATGACCCACCACATCTTATGGTGGTTAAAGTGTTGGTGGCAGATAGGAGTGCTGATTGGGGCCTTGAGCAGTCCACTAAAGGAGAATCATTATGCACACCATTAGGCTTTGGAGCAAAACCATGTGGACACCTATTTTCCTTTTGAGAGAAACAGCTTTTTTGGCTTGCCTTAGGGCTTTAGTTGAGATTGAAAGCTTGACCACAGACCACCAAGTTATTATGTGATCTAAACTACCCATCATGAAGTGGGTGTTTTCTGACCTACCAAGCCATAAAACTGGTCATGCACAACAGCAGTCCATTATCAAATGGCAGTGGTACAGATGAGATGGGACTTGAACAGACCCTGAAGGCACAAGAAAGTTGAGTTGACCAAGGAATGACCCAAGTGCCCATGGTCCTTACTTCTGCTTTGTTAACTTATCTCTCCCAGTGCACAACTATAATCTCATGGAAAATTCCCTACAACTAATTTAATGAGGAAGATAAAATTTGGGTCTATGATTTATTGGTGATGCTGCAAAATATTCAAGTATTTGTCAAAAGAGGACAGCTGCTGCCCTACAGCCTGTCTTTCAAATGTCCCTGAAAGACGGTGGTGAAGGTAAATCTTCCCAGTGGGCATAACTTGAACAGTGCACCTGACCGTTCATTTTTTTTTGCCTGGAAGAAGAAATAGTTAGAAGTATAGGTTTATATTGACTCATAGGATGTGGCCAGTTGTTTGGTAAGATGGTTAAGAACTTGGAATAAGATTAAATTTGTGATCACGGGAAGCATGTGGAGATACTTCACCACACATGATGTGGAAATGTTAGTAGCTCAAGTGAAAGATTACCAAAGGGTAACCTCAACAGAAGAGAGTTTTAATAACCAGGTGTGTAGGATTACCTGTACTCTAGATGTTAGCCTCTTTCCCTCGCCACTCCTTTTGTTGACCCACAGACTTATGAAGAATGTGGCCATGATGACAGGGATGAAGATTTACATCAGATCTGCAGTGTGGACTTCTACTCATCAATATTTACTGGTCACAGAAACTTCTGAGTTCCAAATCCAGCCAACAATACTATCTGTGTGCTACAGAATATCTTATTCAGGATCATATTATTCCTCACACCATCATTGCTGACCAAGGAATTTATTTCACAGCAAATAAACATGGCAAAGGCCCTTGCTCATGAAATTAATCTTGCTATAATTTTCTTCATAGCATAGATAATAGTATGGTGGAATGGTTTTTTGAAGACTCGTTTATGATGTCAGCCACATGGCAACAATTTTCAGGGCTAAAGTAATATCCCCAGGATATTCCGCATGGTCAGAATACATGTGCGGTGCCGTATCTCTTATAGTCAAAATGTATGGGCCAGGGAATCAAAACGAGGGAAAAAAAAAATCAGAGACTACTATAAATATGATTTCAGGTGATATACTAGCAAACTTTTGCCTCTCATTGCCATGATTTTAGGCCCTGTGAATTTAGAGATCCTTATTTCAAAGGAAGTAATGCTTCCATCAAGTGATAATGCAATAATGATTGCATTGAACTAGACACTGAGATTTGACCCAGCCAAATTAGGGTCTTCAATTAACAGGCAACGAATGGAGTTTCTGTACTAGTTGGAGTGATTCTTCTGGTTATCAAGGTAAAATTGGGTTTCTACTAAAAATCAAAAAAGATATGTATTTCTGAAATGGAAGAGATCTTCCAGACTGCTTCTTAGTACACTCATGTCTTATGATTGAAATCAGTGGAAAACTAGCACAGCTCAATTCAGGCTAGACTGATAATTACCCAAATCCTTCAGGAATAATGATTTGGGTAACTTCATCAGGCAAGAAACTACAACAAACTGACGTTCTTGCTGGGAGCAAAGGGTATAAAAATAGTAGTGGAAGAAGTTATTTAAACATACCAGCTATAACAATGAAACCAGTTTCTGATATATGGACTAATTTAATTATGAGTATTTCTTATCTGTATATAAATATGACTCTTTTGTCATATTTTGTGTGTGTGTTATCACATACACAATGTTTATTGTCTTTTCTTTCTCCTCTTATTCCCTAATCATGTAAAAAAGATGCGTTAATAGTGCTTAACTTTATATCTCAGTATTTAAGTTATACCATGTCAATAATGGAGCATGAATAGAAGAATGAATATCACCCAAAGAGAAAAAAGGGACTTTATATTCTTTCTTTTAAAAGATTAATGTGTTTTCAGCTGTATCTGAAATAGCTGCAATATGTTATGTGAAAGCATGGCTTTGCTGTTTTCAATATCTGGAGATTAATATGATTTAAGAAGATGTATATGGGTGCCAAGTTGACAATAGGTGAACTTGGCTGGGCTTAACTACTTTTTCTTAAGTTTTTCAGAATTTTATTTTCTGTACGTTTCTGGTTAGGGTGGAGTATGACAGAGTACCTTATGGGAGGTTTGGAGGGAGAATGTGAGCAGCAACCACTTTGTAGCTCACAAATGTTGTCACTGCTGGCTCACTTCATTGATGTGAGGCAGTGGCAGTCTGCATTTGTCCCACCTTCCACCGGATCCTCTTTCAGCTTCCTTACCTCTTGGACTTGTGCGGATGCTTAAGTCCATGACAATGGGCCTTAACGTCTGCAATATAAGCATACAAACAAGGTCAGAGGCAACAAGAATTGACATAGGTGACAGTCTGTTCTTGGAGCCTCTAGCTTGCCTTTATGGGCTCCTGATTGCTCTTGCTCTAATTTACATCCATCTTCCCTCCCCAGCTGCCTATCTTGTGAACTCCAAGCTCCAGCATCAAACCCAAACCCCTAGGGATTTGGCCTTCTGCATTTGTTAAGGTAAGACTGCTGCTTTTGTCTTATGATGGGCTTGTGAAGTACACAAGACAGATAGTCGGGGAAGGAAGATGGATGGATAGATATAGATTAGCATTGGTTCTGCTTCTTTGGTTGAACCCATAATAAAGTATTTCCTTTGTGTCCTGGATTCATTCTTAAACATACAGAAGAAAGAAATATGATGTTACTAATTTATCCTTAATTTTCCTAAAGACCCAGAATTAAATTATTCCGTCTTTTTTGAAAGTTAAGAGTAGCATAATACTCTGAATATTTCTTATTTTTTCTTGCTAGCAATAACTAATACAAGAAAAAAAGTAGGGAAAACTGGGGAGTCAGTAGAAAACAAACGGTTCAGAAAATCCACAAAAATATTGTTAGCTCACTAAAAATTCAGTTATTACTAGAACATGCCAGTTTTCTGTCTTTACAATAGCAATACCTTTCCACCACTGAGAGGTGCTCTCACACCTGGAGCTACAATATTTCCAAATACTATCATATTAAAGCTTGTGCACATATTTTTCAAACGTAATATTAAACATAGGACATTTTGGCTTATACATGCTTGTATGCCATAGTATGAAAACAGATAATTTTGTTGTTACACAAACAATGGTTTGCCTGTGATAAAGTCATCCTTATTTAGTCACCCTTTAGTCAGCATATCAAAGGAATAATAATCCCTAACATGGTAAATTCTTGATGTATTATGTTTTAAAGCAATACCTTATATGTACTCAATTAGTGAGATTTTGGCATTGTCTTAGTACATTGTAAGTGTACAGAAACTACTTATTTAGACTTGTCCTTTTATTTGTCCTCCTAAGCTGCTTAAAAGCTTCTTGCTTTGTCATAATTTTTACTTATTTATATTAAATATTATTAACATTTGTAAGCTTCTAGTGAATTTGCCTGAAAGGACGACGGCTTCAGAGAAACATTCTTCTTTTATTTGGCTGGGTATTTTATAACAGGGGAAATATGGTGTTACAATCAAACATTGGACCTAATTGCTGACTTTAAAGCCTGGCTCTGCTTCTCACCTGTTCTGCAACCAACAGGATGAATTTAAACATCTCTGTATCTCATTCCTTCTCATTTGTAAAACCGTAGTGATAACAAAATATGTGTCTTCACGATTTGTTGTGCAGATCAAATGATCTAATTCATGTAAAAACCCTTCGAATAGGGCCTGGCATATGGTAAATGCCCAATAAATGTTACCCATAATAATAACTTCTTCTGTGCATGCTGATAAACTATGAGAACATATGGACCTAAAAGACAAGGCTTATAATTAACAAAGAAAAGTGTAAAGATCTTAGACAATAAAAGTAAAAATAATTTTAAAAAGTATCTTTTAAATATAGCCCTCTGCATAGAGATATTGCAAAAACAGTAAAAGTCAGAGCAATAGATGCACATAACTGTTTTATAACTAGTAGTTAGGTCCTTAACTCTATATAACTTTGAAATGAAATTGTAAAGCATAATACATTTCTCTCAGTAAGTTTCTCCAGATTCCCTTTGAATTTGTGTAGGACCAATAGATATATCCAGGCACTATTTGACAAAACACTACTTTTCAAAAAGTAGGAACAGCATGTAATTACCTCAGCATGATATTTCTTTGGTAATTGCAGATAAATTGATAAAAACATCTCAACTACTAGGCAAGCAGAGTATTGATTGCAATTTACTAGGCTATAAGAAAAAGTGATTTTCCCTCAAGTTTTAATATAAGTACTTACTTGTTTTATTCTATGACAAATATAGACTTTTTCATTTCAGAAACTCAGAGTCTTCATGGAAAAATCACGATTACTAATCCTCAAGATTGTCTCTATACATTTTTTGCAAGTATTTGACTGCTCATTATTTTCCTGCTGGGCACTTTTCTAAAAATTACAGTTTCTATAATGGAGCATTTTATTGTTGCATTTTATCAATGTATTTCCTAAGTGCAAAATCTCAGAATTTCATGAAGATATTTTTTTAGAAAGAAAAATAGGAAGGTGACGGATCCTTCTTTTCAATAGTTTCTCATTACACATATACTTGCATACACAAATCATAGAAAAGCTCATTCCATTTGTATTCAGTTCTTTGTTTCCGATTTCACTGACATGTAGTATCCTCCAGTACAAGTTGTTCAACACTTTGTTCTGAAGTAAAGCAATGCTCTATATTAATTTTAATTTGGGATGTACTGTTTGGATACTATACTGAATTTTGTCTAATTACCTTTTCCACTGCTTTCTTGAATTGATCTCAAAAGAAACGTGTGCATTTATAGTTCACTTATCAGTGACATTTATTCTGAGTATAACAGTATGCCATCTATTTAGCTGTAATTATAAGTTGTTTCACCTAACCAAAAATGCACTTCTCTCACTGATTATAAGGTTTTGGATTCACAACAGATAACAAAATAAGAGAGTACAATGAGATTTAATTAGTTTATAGAGTAGGGGTTGTGTACTTACAGAAGGAATTTGATCAGTGATGACACTGTTTAGTTCTGACACGAAAGTTCTAGCATGCAATTATTTTCCTTTGCGGAAGTAGTGTATACTTAAGCATCATGGCCAATCAACTGTTCCTCCTCACTGCCATGCATTCCTATTCTAAAGTCTAGTGGTAACCCTTATGGTGAAATTTGGTCACTGTAGGTAGTTCTACATATACAGACAAAGGTATGGTGAAGATGATACAAACCAATATTAATTTATCAAGGACCACACATGAAGTTAATATTTGTCAATCATTCATTCTTGAAAAGATTTTTCCATAAATCTATTGGCATATTCAGTTATTTCCTAGAGAAATATACATGATAATTGAGCATAATGATGCTAAATAGTGGAAGTTCGAAGCCGCTGCAAGTAGAAATGGTAATTAATAATGTATAAAATTATAACATTATTCAAATTCCTTCCCAATTTACAATCCTTTCTCCAATTAGAGTTTTTCTGGAATACACTCTTCTTAGCCAAAAGCACTGAGAATGGCAATTTTAAAAATTATTAGAGAAGAATGGTAGCTCGTAGAAAACCTGTGTGTAACAGGTAGCTGGTGGCAGGCACACTGAAGAGTGGAAGGATTTAGCCAATCAGTTGATACATTATTTAAAATCTGAAATGTTGAAAAATTGTAGATGAAGTGTCCTAAAACATATGAGGTAGAAGGAGGTAGAGTTGTGTGTTCAGCTTCTCTCACTTCCTTTATCTTTCCCTTTTCACTCTTGTGGAAGAGAATTTCCCTTATCACAGTAACTCAGCTATGCTATGAAAGAATGGAAATGATTTTTTTTTTTTAAGTTTGTTTGAAAGATGCTTCAGTCTGAATAATCTGAAAGAAACAGTTATTTCCATTGAGGTTTATAAAATATTTTCTATGATCTTCCTTCCAGAATGGAGTCAGGGATTAAATCAGCATTTGTTGGAATGCCTCTGGAATGAAGTCAGGGCTTCATGAAGGCAAGGGGGGTAAAAACACTGATGGTGACATGGCAGGAGTGAGAAGTGTAAAGACTGCTAAAGAAAAAACCTGAGCCCCAGACACTAATGTGAGATTGACCCTTTATGAACTGAGGTACAAATCAAAGAAGTTATTCACATGACCCTGGTCTGATATAATATAGCATCCTTTCAACTGAGTAAAACTCTGAGCAGTAGCTTTGCTCAGAAACTGTGCCTGAAAGAAAACTACCTTCAGAACTTATGGTAGCAGCTGGAACAGGGGACATAAATACAACTAGTGTTCTCTAGCTATGACCTCTAAGACCACTCATAGCTTCAGGCAATTTTGTCTCACTACAGCTTATATTTCCCTCCAGAAACTTATCACACCGTCAATGCCCTTTGCCCTGGGTGAGACAACTGATGCTTCAGTGGCAGTGTACTGTCACCAGAAACTCTGTCCCTGATAGCTTGTAATTTAAGGCCATCTCTACTCCTTTAGCCATTAGTGTAATAAACACAGAATTACAACATATATGACGCATCCCTTTTCTGAATTGTGGCATTAGGAAATTCCAGACATTTCAGCTAAAAACTTTTAGATGTTGAAAGGAAAAGGAGAAGAGACTATTTTATAATACTAGTGTGTGGGATCTGAATACTATGATTCCTGATCCACCCATGTTATTTATCTGTGAGAAAATTTGGAACAGAAATCGTCATACTGAAACAATGCCACTCAATAAGGACAAATATGCAAGAATCTTATTTGTAACCTCCATTGTCCATTCACTCCATGCTGTAGGACTCATTTTGCCTTTTCTTCCCTTGGATGAAAACTAGGGCAAGTCCCATGGCTGTCATTGTCACTTTAACATAAAAAATTCTCAAGTAACTTCCAGTTTTCATACACTGTCTCATTTCAGTAATTATTTTGTTCAATCCATTCTATTAATTTAAAATTATAAACTTCATCCAAAGTTGAAACACAATAATCTTCCCTATCAAAGGAGAAGCTTTCCATACACAGTGAATGTTGGAATGTGACATGAACCTTCCTATTTGATTAATGATGTGAGGGAACATCGGGCTGTCCTGCAGGGCAGACTTTTAAAGCTGACACTGACTTTCAGGGTGTGTGGGTTCTTCCATGCTCACTGCCCCACCACTGGGAACCTCTCATTCATGGTTTCTGTAAGGGAGACAAAGAACAACTCTATTCCGACTAGTTACATTTGGTAATGGCCTGTGTCTTGTCCTGTGCAAACAGACTACCCATTCTTTTGCCAGAAAAACCTATGAAACTTCAGGTCTTATACTGTCA